GATGAATTATGATTCAAGAAAGGGGGACACAATGGATCTGTAAGGTCGAAGTGATTAACCCCCCTCCCACTCATTCTAAAATTCTACAATACTCCGTGTCGTATGTGGTGAACAACCCTGTATTTATAGAAAAATATTCATGTAGAAAAATGGAAAATAAATATAAATAAAAACAAATGGCCATATTTCCATAATCACCCTGTTTAATTTTCAAATCTATGGAATTTTCAAAATGAAAATATTTTAGTAAATCTATAGAATTAACAAAACAAAATATAACATTCATTTATTGAAAATATCTTGTCACATGATTCAATAAAAAGAATCTTAAATTTAAATCTTGGCAAGTAATAGACCACCTTGTATACTTATTTAAATTTTATTCGTTTTGTAAATCGAAATATTAAAGTTGTCGCACATGATTGATATATTTTTGCAGAATATTAAATGTAGATGCTGATATCTGTTTTTCAAAAAGAATATATTATGCTAAAAGTAGAAATTTTATATAGTATTTTACTAGACTAATCAATCAAAATTTACAGAAATGTGTCGTATATGTGTGTTATGATCTGTATTTATCTCTATATTTAGGTTGATGTGTTTATGGTGGCAGAATATTTGCAGCAAAGAAACACATTAAAAAGATGCAAATGTTGATTAAAAAATAAATAATTTATTTTTACTTAAATCTAAGTAAAAATTAATTTTAAAAACTGTCATTTTTAAATTTTGATTTTTTTTGCAATAGTTTTCTTGTGTGAGTGTTGCTTTATATATTTTTATTCGTTGTTATACAGGATGAGTCTTAAATAAGTACAAATATCTTCAGGGCTGGTAGTTTTACAAAAGAAAACATTCTAAAAATTTTTCAAAAAATTCTAAAAAATTTTTCAAAAAAATCCAAATTTTCAATTTTTTTTGTATAATGCGCCTAATGCGCCCCCCACCAAAAAGAGCGCCACCATCGCAATCCGTATTTTGATTGCTATTAAATATTCACAGCTTTTTTTTAAAATAAAAACAGTTGTAGAAGAATAAAAAAGTTATTGTCGGGCGTGAGATTTCAACCACGGACCTCTCGTTCACGAGAGGCGATGGCCTCAGTCACTGAGCCGCAGCTGCTCTTGGAAAACTAGCTATAGCGAGGGGTTACTTTCCGCCGTTCTTTCAGAACAGGAGCCGGCAACCATTAAGGGAACCGGCGCCGGCAGAGGAGTCACTTTGTTAATATAAACATAACTATAACCTTCTTAACGCCACCTGCCAGTAAGCGCCATCTAAGGTCTCTATGATTTATTATTTTCTGGGGCTCCCATCATATACTAAATATACTTTTGAAGAATAAAATCGATACCAAGCAACAAGGATCTCCATTGAAAGGGAAACACTTTCCATATCAAAGGCATCGATTGACAACGCCAAATCCGGAGTTTTACTGTATGTATAGGAACCATAAACAGAATACATACATATTTTGTCAATCTGCTTTTAATATCCTTTGTCTCAGTTTTCGATGCAAAAGTTTAGGAATCAAAACCAGTGCGCTCTGTTTTGTAATACAGATTTATACGCTTGTATGAGGTTTGAGTAATACATTATTTATAAATGTGTATATAATCAGAAAAATGTAAGAGTAAATCAATATGTATATAGTGTTTCACTGGTATAACGAACTGGCGTCGAACTAATCATTTGTAATGGTGATGATAAAGCAAAGCAAGAATTTTTATTAACATACAAACTGGATAAAATGTTCTCACATTTATGTCAGCATGAGAAAAACAATATGGCGATATTATTATATAACTTGGTAATATTTGGGGGGTAGTTTGATCTCGTTGGAATTTGACTTTCGAAAAAAGTCGTTTGCCAAAAATAAGCTTTTTAGTCAAGCAGTTTAAGCAGAATCGTGATTAATAAATTATCCAACTTTTGGAACACACTGTATTATTTTTTTAAAAATTTCAAAATATGTAAAAAACAAAATAAATGATGCGTGTCCAAGCGTTTTCCCGAAAGACTAACCGTTTTTAAATAACAAACATTGTAATATTTGAGGGTCATCACCCTCATGGAATTTGAGATTCGAGAAACCCCTCTTTATCGAAACTCTACACCCAACAAAGCAGTTTAAGCAGAATCATGATTACTCAATGGTCATATTTTATGAAACACCCTGTATAAATTTTTAAAAAATCTTAAAATATGTAAAACAACAAAATAAAATATACGTGTTTAAGAGTTTTTCCGAAAAACTCACCGGTTTTTAAATAAAAAATATTTTAATATTTGAGGGATAGTTTCACCCCCTTAGAATTCGAGTTTCGAAAAATTTCTTTTTATCGAACCTCTACACCCTAAAGTCAATCTGTTTTCCGAAAATCAGCTTTTTACGTCAAGCGCTTTAAGCAGGATCGTAATTAATCAATGACCAGATTTTTCGAAACACCCTGTATACATTTTAAAAAAATCTTAAAATATGTAGAAAAACAAAATAAAATATACGTGTTTAAGCGTTTTTCCGGAAACTTGACCGTTTTTTAAATAAAAAATATTGTAATATTTTAGGGGTGGTTTCACCCAATTGGAATTTCGAAAAATCCCTTCTTATCGAACCTCTACACCCTAAAATCAACCTGTATGCCAAAATTGAGCTTCTTACGTTGAGTGGTTTGAGCAGGATTGTGATTAATCAGTGAGTCAGTCACTTAAGGATTTTATACATTAGTATAGATTCCTTCATAATTTCTAATTATATGATGACCATTTCTTTGTTATTACTATTTTTTTTGTTAATTTATAATCTAATGATTCTCATTTCTTTATTAAGCGTTGATCATAAAAAATAGATCTATTTATCTGTATTAAAAAGCCTTTTTATTTTTGGTTTAGAGGCTTTCATCAGTTCTTTCATCATAATTATTTAGTTGTTAAAATCTACTCTGTGTCTTGCATCCTATGAATGCTGTCAAATCTTAGATTTACGAAAATAGCTTTTTTTAAATAATCCTTATGTTTTTTTAATTCGAACATTTAACTGCCTTAGATGTTTTAACAATATAAAATTTATCACATTCACATGGTATACTATATATTACGTTTTTTGTCTGTTGTTCAGTGTTCTTAAAATATGTTATTTAAATATGTAATAAAATTGTTTAATTTCTAGTAACATTGACTACCTAGAATCAACGAATTTACAGAAGTAACAAGTACAAAAAGATTATTCAATACAAACAATTTTTTTACATCTATTTTTGATCTATTAATATAGCTAATATATAAGAAAAATATACGTGATAAAAACATTAGTTAAACCCTTCTTAAAGTTCTTTACTAAAACTTTTGTTAGCTAAGGTTATTCTTTATAAAGTTTGACGTTTAATAATTTCGTAAACAACAAGGTATCGATCTAAACTAGTCACTTTATATCCTGTTATCTAATAACAGCAAGACCCCCCGACAATTCTATTGTCTCTGGCCAACGTTTGTCTCTTTAAATTGGAATCTTCCTGCGCATCCGAGCATGGGTCGTCTACCGCGGGACTCGCTGGACTTAATAAGGACAAGAAAAGAGAACAACATGGACACCAAATATACAGAGTATTTCTAAAATATAGATGACAAAGATATGGCCGATTCGGCGCGGCGTAAACAAAGAACACCTGATTAAAAAGTTAGAGAAACGTTAACGTTTTTTTTATCGTAAATTTGATAGAATCATTTCAGTGATGAATTCAACTGAAAAATGAATTCAACTACCTATGGGTTGCATTGAAATTATGAAGATATCGTCAACATATGAAATAAGAACAATAATTGAAGTCCAATTTTTGTTTAGTATCAATAGGCTTTACGCATTTTTTAGTATCAACAGGCACCGCCGGTGCTGCCACCATCGAAGAATATCGTAAACAATTGGTATATACAAATAAACGGGTTTAAATAGCGAGTATACGAAAAATTTATTATATAATTATTCTAAAAGCGTTAGGAAGTATCATTTGTGAAAATCCTAAAAGTAAAAATAAAAAAGTAAATATTTTGATATCTTCAGAAGGTGTAACTTGTATTATAATTTATTATTCTAGCTAAAAAAACTTTTTAGATGAGTTCAACTACGGTAGCGAACATAGTTTTACGCACCGGTTTTGCTAGTGGGGTCATAGTTGGGGCTATTTCGGCTATAACGAAATCTTTTGAAGGTACATAATTAGAATTTTCGAACATATTCATAAAGAAATTAAGCACTAGTTGATTAAAAAATGAGTATACCATTAATATTGCAAAATAATATTTTATTCTCTCATAGTATGTTTAATTTTTTGATTATGTAACGAGCATTTAGACTATTCACTTGTTTCGTCGAACTGCTTGAATCCATTTTTGCTTTTGATCAAATCGGTGTGAGAAACTATGAAGCTATAAAATGTTTCGGGAGAGTTGAATATCCGGGAAAGTTGAGTTATTGAATGTTATTATACCAACAACGCCCTAATAATGCTCTTCTTTACGCATTAACATTTTTTCGGCAGTTTTATTAACATTTGAAATTGTCACAACACGACGCCTAGTTCGGATTCTTTTTTACTTATTTTTTACTATCCGAAACATTGTTACATCACACAAACCTCGTACCTGAGTGTTTAATAGTTTCAATAACTGCACTAGCAAAGAACTAAAATACTTAAATATTATCACAAAGCCACTATTTCAATATTATTTTAATGCGATCAACATGAACTGTAACCTGGACGGCGTGAAATACATAGCGATAATTTCTGATTTCTGCCGTATACAGCAGCGCTGCGGTCGGAATTTTTTGAAATCAACTGAAATACACCAAGCCTTTACGGAATCATTGTCTACTGTAAAGAAATAAAATAAAATAAACATTCCCCTCTTTTGGGGGGATTCTTAATCGCGATACTTTACAATATTTTGTCTCGAAAATCCGTCACAACGTTAAATAAACTCATCCATCGTGTTTGTTGCAGGTTCCCCAGGGAGCAGCAGACCCTTCCCAATCACTTTTACTTCACGGACTACGAGCGACATAACGCCGAGATTGCTGCCTTCCATTTGGACAGGTGGGTACAAATTTACTCTTAAAGTTTTCTTGTTTATTTTATAATATACCTATTCATTTGTATTTACAATTTGCTAATTAATATTTTGCTTGAAATAGCATATTTTGCATTAATCTATTTAAAAATTAACTAATAATTAATTAATTTCAAACTGCTTTACAATAGTCATTTAAATGACAATAATTTCCCAATAATTTTTAATAAGGGTCTTATAGACGGACTGTGTCCAAGGTACGGGTAGTGTTCCCCTCTACCGTTATCTTGTGGACGGACTGTGTCCAAGGTTATAGTCCAAGATACGGGTAGTGTTCCCCTGTACCGTTATCTTATGGACGGACGGTTTCCAAGGTTATGGTCCAGGTTACGGACATTATCCAAGGTCCTAGTAGTGTTCCAAGGTACGGGTAGTGTCCCCATATTGCCACCGCATGGATACAGCATAAGACCCATGCTGCTTCGCTCCCATTTCGAAGCTTAGTCAGTAGCTACGGCTGTATTGATTCATGGTGTCCTCATTCTGGTCCCTTTTGTTGTTTTGGCCAACAGGATCGCCGACAGACAGTACAGAGATGCGAGACCACCTCACGCTGCTACTGTTTGAAGTTCTAGTTTTACATTTAACATCTAAAACATTTTCAGTCTTAAACAGTAATGTACATCTTAAGTAATATCGTACAGACTATGTTTAGTGGTTAGATTGTTAAGAACATTCATGTCGATTTAATATTTAAAATATATAATTTTTTTAAAGTTTTAATAATTTCAGAGGTATAAATAAATAAATGATTTTTTAATCTTTGGTAAAAGAAGATAATATCTCATATTATGAAAACTATAAGATGTGTCTTTATGAGATATCTAAACTATGCTCTAGGTACGTGAACTTAATGAATTAATAGATAATAGTTATTTACAGTACATGTGTGTACATGTGTATGAACATGATTACAACGAGTGTGAACGACTAGAACGACGAGGTCGTAGACCGAGTCGTTCTAATCACACGTGTGTTGTAATCATGTTTAAACGCACGTGTCATGTACAACGTTTTATCTACAACCGAAAAATAAGAAAATGCTGTTTTAATTTTCGTTTATTAGTCGCCCACCTTTAACACCTTTAACTATGACATTTGTCACATTTTTAGTTGTTACCTTTGAATAAGAAAACTAAGGAAGGAGCATAATGCTATCCGTATACAACTACCTGCATGGTGGGCGGAAAAATCTCTCTAGGGTGTAGATCCTTGACAGTTCTGTTTGACGATTCATTTGACACATTTGAATTTGATTTGAAATTTTGTGGATTTGTCAGTCTTTCCGGAGTCTATTTTATGTTATTTATTATTTATTCTACTACTGATAGTTGTATAAAGGTAGTAAATCTAGATGGAAATTGTGGCAGAACTTAAATTAACAGTGACACTATCGCGATTTATCGAAAAAGACTCTAAAATAGTTGGTTGTGTAGCGTGCGGTAGATCTCGGCAAAAATCGAGTGAAATAATGGAACAACTTTTCGCTAGTAAGTGACTATATAATATACATACATGTAGTAAACCGATCATTTATGAAATTCACTTAAATTAACTAAATTATATATTTTTCTTGCATTTTAGCTTTTATTTATTACTTGTCAAAGATGAGATCTCAAAGAATTTAGATACATTAATTTGACTTACCTGCTTCAGTAGCGTATCGGATGTTTGTGTTAATAAATACTTATTATAACTTATCTATTTTTATTAGAATTATATATTTTTATAAAAATTTTAATAACTACCAACATTTATTCACAACGTAAAATAAAACAACAAATTATTGAGTCTACCCCACGTCTACCTTACATCATAGTTTTACATTTTTTAAATAAAATTAGAACGACACTGATAAACCGGAATTTAAGTCGGCCATATTTGAGGCCCATCGCGGTGTACCTAAGATTTTGGATATGCTCCTTCCTTAGTCTTCTTATTCAAAGGTTGTTACATTTTTAGTTGGCACATTTTTAGTTGTCTTTGATTATTATAAAAACTAGTTGTGTTATAGATTCATAACACCGCTAGTTGTGTTATGAATCTCATAACGTAACTGAGATACTAAAAAAATAGTGATGTAAAAACGTTGTAACTAAACGGTTGTAGATAAAGAATGTTATGCTAAACTTTGTAGAATATAAAATAATTTTACTTAGTTTTTTTAATGGAACACCCTGTATATTATAATTTTGTTAGATAGAAATTTTTTTTGTTTAAAGTATTTTAAAATTTTTAACGGTTTTGCAGATATTTGCGTTATAATTATATATGGCTCTTTCAACGGAAAAACTTCATACAACAATCATTAGGTTGGCTTTGATAAAAATTTAGTGTTAAAAAAGCCATACTATGTAATATAATACCGCAAATATCTGGAAAACCGTTTAACTCTTTGCAATATTTTAAAAACAAAAAATGTTAATTTTTAATTTCTTCATCTAACAATTAAATAATATACAGTGTGTTCCATATAAAAATACGAAGGAAAAGTATTTGATATTTTAGAAAGTTTAGAATTTTGAACACCCTGTATGATTTTATAATACTATATTTATAACCAAGTAAGTACAGACCAACTATAGTAAATAACTAGTATAGTTTTGATTCCAGGGTATTTCTTGTATTTTTAATAACTTTTTTAAGAAAGGCTGATTTTTTTTATTTGTTTACTAATATCTCTGAACCTATTAAAACACTTTAGTAAGCCAAGATTGCAATAATATACAAGGTGTTCCATTTAAAAGGAATCATCCAAATTTATTCACACTTTTGAACCACCCTGTAGAAGTTAAAACATCATTTTTTTTAAATACATCGACATACACTAGTTAAGTTTTTTATTATTGGAGCTACAGATGCTCAACGCACTGTTGCAGGACCTTATACAGGGTGGGTCTTAAATAAGTGCAAATACTTTTATTTCGAATCCAGAAAAACGTCTAAGAGGTTTTTTGCAATTTTTTGAAAAAAATATATATTTTCTTTTAGTTTTTAGTTATAAAACATAATTTCTTGATAATATGAGAACGTAGGTAGTAGATTAAGTTTAGAAGAAAGAAAACTCAGAAAAGATCCAGTGATTCTCAAAATTTAAGTATTTTTTTTATTTTCGAAGAAAAATAACTTGGTTATTTTGAACTTGAAAAACGGCAAAGAGAAAATATGTTTCTTTTCTCCAGATCTACCCGCTCTGGAAACATTTGCAATTAATTAAGATTCACTTTGTAAATTTGACATTTTATAATATTCTTTTTTCTAATAAAGAAAATTATATTTTTTTACTTGTCTTTTTTTCTAAATGGAAATGTTAGTTTTATTTATTGCATAAATATCATTCAAAATCTCTTTTATTATTAAATTATTGTTATTAATGGACTAGTTATGATCATTATTCTATGAAAGATATTAAACATATTTACTATTCATATACTGGTTACTGTGTTTATTATCTGTGGTTATTATCTATTAATACTACCGATAAATTTTCCAATGAAGAGTAATTAAAACTATTAAAGCTCTTTCATGGCTATTTCACTCTTTTATGTGATTTTTATATTATATTAAATATTAGAAAGAAAATGAGAATCACATGTTATTAAGTTGTGAACACCACAAGTATTTTTTACTTTAACAAAATTTGAAGAAAGAAACTTTATTTGATTAATAGAATAGCAAATTCCAGGGAAGACAATATGATTTTTTAATACATAAATTATTTCTTTTAGTCAAATATTATTGTTCTGTAGACAATTCAAGGCCTAGTACCCTTATTGATTTTGTTAATAATATTGTTGGAGTAATATAACAAGAATTATGCCTGGATATGCCAGCTACATAACTTTGTTTCGACCGATACTACTAATTCAATCGGAGTATAAATCAGTGCCAATTAATATAGAGAGAACTTGGACAATTCCTGACTTTCTGGTGATTTATGTAAACTAATATTTAGTAATTTGAATTTTAAATGAAATATTTAGATCTAATATACACACAACCAAACTTATATGGAATCAGCTATTATTTCCCATAATTTTTGAGATGTATGAGAATTTTCTGTTTATGAATAAAACTCAGTCCTTACCAATGACCTTTAATGAAAAATAATCCATATAGCAATAAAAAAAAATAATCAGTTCCCGAAATAAACAAAATGGTATTTTTTTGGTTTCTGAAACGAAATTAAGATTTAAATTTTTAATGGCCAAAAAGCTTATACAAAAAGAAAATTGGTAATTTTAATATTCTTTGTTGCCACCTCTAGCCCTTATGCAAGCTTCTATCCGCGCTGGCATGCTTCTTGTTAAATTATCCACGTTGTCTTGGGGTATGTTTTCCCATTATGCTAATGCTGCATCAATAAGCTGTGCGATATTTCCTGGATTGTTTCGACGAGCTCTAACCCTTCTTTTGAGCTAGTCCCACAAGTGTTCGATAGGATTTAGATCTGGTAAATAGGCAGGCCAGTCCAAAACTATAACACCTTCCGTTTCAATACGTTCTCTAGTCACTCTGCTGGTATGGGGAGGTGCACTATCGCGCATGAAATTAAAATTATCCCCAATTGCAGCTCTCCACAGACTAACGATTGGTTCTAGCACCAAATCAACATATCTCCGACCCGTTGAAATTTGTTGAAGTAGTAACAATGGAGTTTTTGCTCCTAGTATAATACCTCCCCAGAAAATTACAGTTCCTCTTTTATATCTCGGTACAGATTTGGCAGCCTGAAGTCTCGCTCGTCTTCCTGGAGCTCTAAGAACCCGAATTCGATGGTTATCTGATCTTAGGCCAATTCTGCTCTCATCCGAAAAAAGAACATTTTGCCAATTCTCAGTTGTCCAGTTTTGATGTTGAAGGCATCAATTTGGCCGGTCAATTTTACTTTGCCGAGATAACTGTAGGATCCGTAACTCTTTCCTACTGTAAAACCCTCGTGCACGAAGACTGTTTCTTATGGTTT